CTTCCCATCATTCTTCCAACTTTTATTACAACAAGAGCAATAGTTTCAACAACAACGACCAGAGCAGTTTTGTCAAAAAGAACGAAAGAAACTTTATGAACGACGCTGTAGGTGTTTCCAGTAGTATTAACGTAAATCAAATCAACATCCAGCCCCCCGGACCCTGAGTTTAAACACTAGAAGATGAGAATAAAAGTCGTCTTACAAGTTATATCTCTCAGACATTTATTCTTCCACATTAATAATTAATAAACACTGTTTTCTGTATGATGACTCAATAGTTCAATATGGTCTTTACGAATAAATTATAGTCTTTTGAAATGAATTGTTTTGCTATTAAACTAATTAAAACTATTAAACTATTAAACTAATTATTAGACGGAATGCTACTTTAATGACGACCTTTATAAGCTCTATTTACCAACTAAAGGTTAAATTAGATTATATGTTTAAATATTGTCTTTTAATGGTAAATTAGATGATTTGGTATAAAAAAGGTTAAAGCTACAGAGAACCTTAAAGAACAAAAGAGCGCCAAAAATCTGTGAATGTCGTCTCTGAAGTCTGGTCCTTCGTGGTTAGCCCTGAAGTACAATATTGAAAACAGTATTATCACATTACTCCTTAATTAAGAATTAACAAGTGATATTTTCTTGTCGACAAATTTTTCTTCTTCTCTTCCTTTACTTCAAAGCTTCCCGCTTCCTGCTTCCAACTTCCTGCTGCCTAATTTATACTTCCTACTTTTTGCTTCCTATTTGCTGCATCCTACTTACTGCAGCCTAATTTATGCTTCCTACTTTTTGCTTCCTATTAGCTGCATCCTACTTCCTGCTGCCTAATTTATACTTCCTACTTTTTGCTTCCTATTAGCTGCATCATACTTCCTGTTGCCTAATTTACACTGTCTACTTTCTGCTTCCTACTTCTTGCTAGATTATGTAAATTTAATGTAAGTTACAAGTTACATATTTTTTTGTATTCACACACATCTCTCCATTTTTCCCCCCCTTCCACCT